AAAAAACTCGAGTTGCTCGAGCTCATGCTCGAAAATTTTCGAGTAATGAGCACTGAACAAGTGTGCGAGTACTCGCTGCTCATATACCCGGGCTGTTTGAAAATGTGCGAACAAAATCGAGAGCTCTACTCTCTATTATCCATTTTGTTGAGTACGGGAATGATTTCTGGGCTTTTTGGGCACCCGCGGGAACCCGCGTTGCGTATGGGAAAGAACCTTATATCACAAGCACCACTATTTTACACTTTTCTTTAACTAAAGAAGAGTTAATTCAACACGACAACAAGTTGTATAGCCTTTTAATGAGTAATTTTACCTAAATTGTGTTTTAAGTCCCTGAAAAATTAAGTTAAATTTTCTTTGCGTTTTTTTTTTACTTTTCGTCTGTTTTCCAGGGAAAAAAGATAGCTTACTGCAGTCCCAAAATTGGAGCGCTAAGCGTTGCGTCTTCCATTGTAAATGAATGTCGGCGCGCGCTATCCTCAAATCAACGCGGCGTAATTTTTGACGTTTTCTCATCTGTCAAAAATGAAAATTGCATTTGTTCGGCACGTTGTTGAGGGATGCTCCATACAAATTGTGCGGGCATGAGGATTTTTGACAGTGGTTGGTGCGCCAATTTAGGGACGGCCACGGGCGTAGCCAGGTAGGGGCAGGGGGTGCTCGAGCCTCCCCCCCCTAACTTTAAAATTTTCCTTATATATATATATAAATTTCATTCTGGCTACGCCGATGGGGACGGCAGTTAGACCCGATCGACTTCGAACCAACAACGAAAACACTCTGAAAACGAATTTTGTGGATTGTGGGCTGAAGGCTGTTATGGGGCTTTCGCACGAGGAGATCTTTCAGGCAACTTTTGCGTTCAACTCACGCAGGGTTGCACGAAAAAAAATTGAATGGCTAAAAATATCAAAATATTCGCCATAAAAAGGCATTTGCATTGTTCAACTTTGCATTCTATTTTTGGTTGAACGGCCTTTCAACTAATCGCTTTCAACAAAGTTGGTCGCCTGCCAACATTTAGCTATTCAACTTTTTTTCGTGCCGCCCTGCGTGAGCTGAACGCAAAATCGCTTCGTGCGAACACCTTTTTAGCACTGAGGTGCCTTGGCACGGAGCTTTTTTTTCGCTGACATTTTTTACAGTTCTGCTAATTGGATTGGAAATTGTTTTTGCATTTGTTTGTTTGTTTACATTTTGTACTGAACACCTGATTGTTGTTTCGCAGCTTGCCAAAATAATCTATGCTGTTGTTTTTGTAGCGGCTACAACGACCCCGCACAGATCGGTTAGTCCCCCAATCGTTGTCGTCAAGCTCTATTAGCGGTAGCCCCAGGAAGCGTGAAGCTGTGGGGTCTGTTCAGTGGGCATGCGAAGAGATGCTGCGAGTCATGGGGCGTCTCTCCGCAAGCCGGGCATTCGTTTAGCAAATCTTCGTTTAATCTGCTTTAGGTATGAGTTCAACCTTCTGCGGTAACCAGAGCGCAGTTGGGCAATTGTGGTCCTAGTTTCCCCAGGCAAACGACGCTCTATCACGTCCACGTCTAATGGTTGTATTCCCAGAACGGCATTCACAGGTCGAGAGCTTGCAAAACTCGAGACTGCCTCTCTGTGAATGCCGTTCAAGGCCTGGGGACAAGCTGCCGGGTCCAGAGGTTGTTTAATCAACCTCTGCTGAGGATTTTCTAGGGGAGAGGGTTAGGCTCCATGCAGTGAAAAAGCGAGAAAGCTCGGCACAAGTCATCAATTCCCTTCCCAGACGCCATGATCGAGCAATCGTCAGCATAAGAGACAATCGAGATTCCCTCTGTTGGTTGAGCTTTGAAATGTAAAAGTTTAACAGCAGTGGGGAAAGTGGAACCCCCCCTCCATTTTATTTTCCTAGTTTTGCTCGTTACTGACGAGTTACGACCACTCAGATAATTCGCCGACCACCGTTTGGGTCCCTGTGGGAGAGTAGGCCTCTATG